ATATTATTTACTGTTCCCCTATTATGCTGTATCTTAGTTAGTGTTTATTGATCTTGGGTAACATGTATTAGAGTCATATAAATAGAGATTGGTCAGAATGCAGAACAAAGCTATTAGATTTGCCATAACGCTGGATATATAGATCATACCAATATTCTATTCCTTCAATCCCGTATTTTTTTGAATTGGTGCAGTTTAAGACAAGTTCAATGCAAGAAATAAGTTACTTCCAGAAAAATATTTAAAAAAAAATGTTTGATGAGTTATAAATTAAGATGTAGACAAAATTATATTAAAAAAAAATATTTGCATAATAAATTGAAAGGTATGTGTATCACATGGTGATGTGTAAACCAGTGAAAAAGGCTTGAAGATACCCTTAAAGGGTGCTTAATCCCATTCTTTAGTTTTTTCTTACTATAAGGGCAGTGCTTACTATGGTAGCAAGATCTCAGACCTAAAAATGACCCATGTACTGTAAGATGTCTGTGTAATTTCTCTCTGTATGCTTTTGTGTTCTTGAACGGGCTGTACCGAAACTGAATTTCCCTTCGGGGATTAATAAAGTATAATTGAATTGAATTGAATTAAATTGAATTAATGTACAATACTCATTCACCCGATTTTGTAGTTGTAAAAAGTTTTGGACATAACTCAGTTAACTTATTTGTGTTGATCTATATTCCTCTTTTGTAAAAAATATGGACTTTCAGTTAGATTTTGTCAGTTGCTGTTTTGAAATAATTTTACTGACTTGATGTGAAATACCTGTCATCATTTGTGCTTCACTGTGTTGCTGTTAAAACTGAGTTTTTCTGAGCATTGTTTTTGTTGGCTCGCATTTCCACTTTCTGTTGTTGTCAGGGCAATTTTCATAGCAGTAATGTCAAGAATCTTTGTGTCATTTTTGACCAAGAAAACACCATATTAGCACTATCCAGCCATCTTCTCCCTGCCTACTCCCTCAGGTTGTAGGTGGGGTCACAAGTCTGTCGCAGGGACATACCAGCACTAGTCATACCAAACAAGCATTGTATTGACCAGGTTTCTAGACACACCTTATTTTACCTCTTAAAGTCTAAAATACAATGTCCCAATTTGATGTAGAAAATCTGGTCAAAATGGATAGACCCAGCAAGCAAAGACATATTAGACATTTAGCAACTCTGGAGTGCCTGTTAAGATCGAAAGCCATGAACAATAAAACGTGGCCTTTATAAAAAGAGGCAAAAAGAAACCTATATATATATTTTAAAAAAAGAACCAGAAAAATGCCCCGAGTTGTGAGGAAAAGATATGTTTAAAGGTGGCCTGTAGATACGTATACATTTTGCCAAGAGAAATAAGCATCAAATGCAAAGACAGTAAAGAAATACCCCGGCTCTGGGAGGCTGAATTTACATGTTTCGATTTCCTGATTTTTTTAAAAATAGCACTTTTTTCCTTTCACTAAACAGAAATGTACTAATTTGTGTTGGTTTATAAAATAAAATTAATGATTGATGATACGATTACACCAGTAAAGTGATCAAATGTGAACAGTTAAAATATTATACATATATTTGCTGTATAGTTGTATGTATAGTTTGTTAGATTAGAGGAAGATGCAGCCTGCTTAGAACGTGCTCTCGGACACAATGTTATGGTCCCTAGTGTATGGAGAAAGTCTGTGTTTTCATTGTCAGGGGTGCGTAAACAGACCTCATGGAGATGGAATGACTCTTTTATGTGAAATTAAATAAGATCAGCTTGTGGGCCTCTCTCCTTCCTGTTCCGCCTTCAGTTTTATGTTCGTTTCCACTCTTGAATAAAGCTGTCTCTCCACGGTGTATTAATGCCCATCAAAGGCCTCAATCAAGCCTCTTTGCCACAGGCTAAAGTCAGACTGGAGAGGCTAAAGTTTAATGTTGTCGGAGCAGTGAGGGTGGGGGCTTATGTCTCTTCTATGCCCTTGAGTTTTTGTTTTTTTAACCGCCACATTCATAAATATCCCCAAAGCATGTTTAGTGGCAGAGAAAATCAGAAAATGAACCACAATAAAAGGTCAAGTGAGGGTCCCTGATTGTGACAATAGTCTTATTCATTGAGCCATTCGGACAATGTATTTATATGTTCTACTGAGGAGGCGGAAAATGCATGACATAAAACATAATTAGGCCGGGTTTCCTAAAGAATTAGTTACGGCTGAGTCAATCGAGACATAGTTTTGGAGAATCCGGTGATGAGAACCGTTTTAGAAGAAGCTGCCGACTGTCTGCTGACATTTTCTCTTCCTGAGTGAGAATATGTGCTTTGTATCAGGCTTAATTAAACTTCCTTAATGTTTTTGGCCTCAACTATTGGCCATTTGTATGGAAGGAATATCAAGAAAAAATATTGATTCAATTACAAAGCAACACAAGTTATTTGGAACTGAAAGGGAATTTTATAATTAAATGTGCTTGAATAAGCAGTTGTCCTGCATGTTTGCTTTTTCCATGAGTTAATCTCTTACTAAAAACCTGTAAAATACAAACAGGTTTCTTAAAAGGGGATGAATGTTTTATCTTATTCTTAATAGATTCAGTTAAATGGTTTAAATGTTAAACCTCTGCCATCAGTAATGACCTCTTTTTAAAGGAATTCGGCTGAAAATTTCACTTTTTCAAAACAGATAAACATGTGTTTACTGTCGTTAAACGTAAAGTTTATTTTCTTTTAGTTACAGAGGGCACAAAACCCTCTTATCTTGTTTGAATGTGTATCTGTGTGTGTCTGTGTTTGTTCTATTATTCCCTGCAGATGGACCTTCTGTCAGGAGGGAAGCTTTTATGCTCCGCGCCAGAAAACTGACACATCAATAATTTTTAAGCAGTGACGACCACAGTCCTTCCCACTCCCTCACTGACCATCCTTGGCTTTAAAAGAAAAACTCTGTGAATGGTTCTTATAACAAAGCAATTACAACTAGAAAGAAGCAGGATCTTTCCTCCTCCCGACATGAAAGAGTTTTCTCGTGACCATTGTGTGAACCGACCTCAGAATATGCAAAGGGAAATAAATACCACACTGTTTTCCACCATAATTTCCAGAGTTGCAGACATCTTGGAGCTACCTTGTTGGTAAACAACAACAAAACCCAGCTCTGTGTATGTGTACTCGCATTTTCTATTTACTGCTCAGTTTTTATTTCCTTGCAGATCACAAAAAATACGTCTTCAGATATTAATAACATGTGGCAGAGTGCTGAAAACATAAATGTTTCATTTCAGCTGCCATCCACTAACATCTCACTCCTATGAATAGCACAGACAGATAGAAAAGCAGCCCTGCAGGTTGAAATTCGGTCCAGCGATTATTAAGTCTGGTTCTGTGCCATAAATCACACTGCTGACATACAGATGGACAGAGCTGAGAGTAATTAGATATATGTTTTAGTGTAAGAGATGAAACCTAAGTGCTGTAAAGTAATTGGGCCAACCTCTCCCAAGAGTTACACACACACTGCTGTATGTGCGTGTTTTTTTTTATATATATAATTTTTTGTTTTGCCATTTTTTTGAGATGAAGAAGAGATATATAGATGCCTCTCAGTCTCAGGGGCTCAATTTGAAAACCAATCAGCAGTTTTTAACTCTTCTTTCGCTCACTTACGTTTTCTCCTTTTTTTTCTTACTCACACATGTGCATATAAGAGTGCATGTGTGCACCATGTGTGCATGACTATGTGAATACATTTGTGTCTTCAGTGCAGTGTGCCGGCATATAGATTCCACTTTGAGGGTGTCATTTTTTGCACTTTGCTTTTTGGCTGGAGATCCTTTCAGGAATGTATCAGTGGGATGTTTGTATTTCAGTTTTATATTCAAGATTTTTTTTTATTTCAATAACAGTACACATGCAAAAAAAAAAAAAAACGCCATCTAACAAAAAAAAGCATGCACATTATTGTTATTATCTTTTCATCTTATTTTATATATACTATTTTGTTTTATCCATTTATTTTTAATAGCTTGTGCAAGTGAATGTATTTTAGTAAGTTGAAACCTCATTGACTGTGCAAAATGACTATAGGTATAAAAAAAAATACATTTATCAGAATAGTGTGCATTGTGTGTATGCTCTGTATTATCTGTAGCCTATTTAAGTTTTGCTAAAAATCTTAACTTTTTACAAACGAAAAAAAAACTCTGATGGTAAAAATATAATCCACGTGCAAGAAAAAAAAAGCTATTTTAGAGAGTGTTTTCCCGATTAAATGAATGTTCCATTAAAAGACAGAGGTTTATGTTTCAAGTATTTGAAATGGGAATTTTATTGTCGCTCCTAAAATGTTCTAAAATAAATGCGCATAGTTCTGACTGCTGCGCATTAGATAGCAAGCTTTTAATGTTGGTCTCATGAAATTCTTCAATATTCTCAATATTTTTTTTTTTTTTGCCTTTTTCTATTTTTTTGTTTGTTTTTGTCGTTTTTTGTGCAAATTTCAGAGTTTTTAATTTAATTAGATGCGCAATTTTAACCAGATTTAATGTATATTTTTTATAATAATTTCAAACTTTATTAACAACAATTTCGTTGTTATCCCTTGATGTCAGGTTTAATGATTAATTATTTTTTTATGTTAGGGTTAACATGGTCAGTAAAATTCCTCTTTTTTATCCTTTAACGCACCCATGTTTTTGTCTCTATATAATAATATCATTAGGCAGCGAATGACTAAAATCCCTTTTTAACCATGAAAGGCTTCTTTCACACTTTAAAAGACACACTTTTATTCAGAAGCCGAAGTCTGCTAAATATGGATAATTTGCCCTTGATGAACCATTTCGAATGAAGCGTAAAATTGCGCTCTCCCTCTCTCTCCGCCCCGGTGCTGTCCATCATCCATCGCTTTTTATTCATCTCCAAATTACATTAATGTCATGTGTTGAGCCCCACGCCCCTGTTTTCCCATTTTTTTCCTTTCTTTTTTAGCAAATAAGTGACCTTACTCGTTCATGTCACCAACATAATCACTTGGGAGAGATCCTGAGGCCGGGAGATCTGGCTCCAATCCTCTGAGGGGAGACGGAGGTTTGTGTAACTTTACTCAAACCTGAGGGGGAGTTCGGAGTGTTTGGTCAACGGCAGAGGTTCCTGGAAAAGATCTGAATCGTTTCATAACCAAACCCAGCTGCGGTTCTGCTGCGAGCTGTGTTCTCTGCCTGCGTGCGTGTGTGTGCGTTTTTATCTCAATGAGGTAGGAGTAAAAAAAAAAGTCTCAGGAGGAGAGATAGATAGAGTGGGAGGGAAAAGGAAAAAAAAATCTTTTTTCCTCTTGACTATTTTTTTTTTAAGCATGAACGCAGAGACCTGTGTCCCATACAGCAACATGACATCTATGGATTCATATTATAGTCCTTCTGTTGCTCAAGGTAGGGATCACCAGACGGACCACTTTAGGACATTTCCAGCTAGTGACACCAAATACAGCCCCACCGCCTTCTTGTCCGGCAAAGGTCAGGCTTACGGAGAGAAGTCCCGGAGCCCCTTCCAGCAGGAGTGCCAATCATTGGATGCCTCTGCAGCTGGGCAAGGCTCTTTCAGCAAATACCACCTCTTCTTGCAGAGGTCGTCCAGCAAAACACCGCCCGCGGAGGACAAGCTGCATCCAGAGAGAGGACACAACGGAGGACTCGTCCCGTGCTATGGTGAGTGGGAATAAAAAAAAAAACAGGGTTATCGATTAAATATAAAACAGAAAAGTGGATCTTAAAAAAATAAATAAAAGACATGGAGCATCCTTCTAAGCTCCGCACAGGACAGCGGCGCGCAAAAAGATGAGCCTGCAGCTGCAGCAGTCTGGATGAACCTCCCTGTCCTCCAACTATTAAATTCTCTGTTTGGACATCAAAATCAAATTAGGGCGCCATTAATGCGCTAATCTGCATTACAATCCTTAAAATTGAAACTGAGTCGGACAATTGAATTAACGGGTTTTCAGATGGGAGTTTTAAACTGGTAATATTTGTGTAATTGCGCGGCCTGATTGGGCCCTGTTTGATTCTTGCGCCGGGAAGGCAAGTCAAACTGATGACTTTATAAGGTTAGGAATAAAACTTTGTTTTCTTAAGTTTAAGGTTTAGTACAAATCATAATAAATGACAGAAGTTAGATATTTTCATGATGGGAAAAAATGCAGAGATGCATGAAAATCGCCTTAAAATAATTAAAAAGAATAATATAGATATTTTTTTGTTTAGAGTGTTCTGCTTTAGATGATTAAACAATGAATACAATTTGATCCAGCATCAATGGAAAAACTGCGCTCAGGTTTTATTCTCGCAAGACTTTTAACATGATAGGAACTTCCCGATGAACTTATTTGGGCTTCATAGATAGCTTAGATTCTTTTATAAGAAAATTAAAGAAACGGATAATGCTCTAAATTTCCAGTACTTTTAAAAATGACGTTGATGTTTAAATAACAAAATAATTAACCCACTTTTTAAAATATCATATGGAGCATTTTACGCATGAGGCGCCTCTTCATATTTCGCTGCAACTGTTGAACCTGTATATCCATCATTGCAGCATTGAATAGGAAAATGATTTCAAAGCTATTTAGAAAGCTTCTGGTAACTCCTTTATGGGTCCATCTCGTCAGGAACAGCGAGACAGTTTGGGTTTTTTTTTGTCATTCTTTCTTGTTTAGCCCATGTGGGTCTCCTCAACCAGGCTATTAAGTTTTTACCACCCATTAAGCCTGACATAGATCCGGCGAAAGAAGATGAAATAAAATTTTATATTATGTTGTAAACGAGGCACGCTTGTTAGGCTGAGCTTAAAAACCGTAAACACTTAGCTCAGGAAACGGGATGGGGCGAAATATATAGGATATATATAAATACACTGAAAAAAAAATAATGCAACATGTTTTTGGCATTTCAGATTTAGCTACTTTAAAACAATTGTTTCATGTTAGCAGGGTAGGACAAAAAAACAATTGTGTTAAATTAACTAAATATGATTAAGTAAATGCCAAAATATTTATTTCAGTGATAAATATACACACACACATATATATATATATATAAATATATATACGTATACATACATATATATATATATATACGTACATATGCATATATATATATATATATGCATA